CCAACTGGGAGAAAGAGGCTGCCCAGCCCCAGCTCCCATGGTCCCCTTGGGCTGTGGCTCGGGGCCCTCACTCACTGACCGGGCTGGGCCAGTGCCCTCTGGGCCCCGAGCTCTGCATGGCCTCAGGGCACTGCCCAGGGTCAATGAGAGGCTGGTTTCCAGCCCCCCAACCTGAGTGGACCCAGGAGCTGTGGTCTCCGAGGCCCGGGGCCTCCCTCAGCCCGGGGTCTCCCTCAGCCCCGGGGTCTCCTGCAGCCCGAGGTCTCCTGCAGCCTGGGGTCTCCCGCAGCCCGGGGTCTCCAAGGCCCGACCCTTGGAGCTGGGCTGAGGATGAGGAGCTGGTCCTGCCCACGTTCGCCCGCGTGCCTGATGGTGCACAGGAGGCTGGCGAGGACGGGGGAGGCTTAGGGACAAAGGGCTTTTGTTCGGGAGTTTGGGGTGCAGCCCCGCTCTCAGGCGGTGACTCACGGGCTCCTCTGGTGCGATAACATCAGTTTCGCAACAGCCAGCGTGTCACACACGCACCTGGGGCTCGACGAGGGCAGCGGGACCCCCGCCTGCGCCCGGGGCCCCTCCAGGCTGCTCTGCCAGAACCGGGTGTAGGAGGGGGTGGCAGTGAGAAAGGCGGGAAGAACAGGCATCAGAGGGCGAAGCAGTGTCTCCAGGGGCAGTTCCCTGGCCTCCACCCCCTGCCCGCAGCCAAGGCCTGGCCCCAGCACGTGCTCCACGCCTTCCGTCCCTCCTCTGGGTCCCCCAGCTCCGGCCACCTGCCCCTCACTTGCTCCCCGTCAGGACCAGGTGGGCAGCTGTGGCAGGGGGTGCAGGGCCCTGGGGGAGAGGGGCCTGGGCTGCCAAGAGCCTCCACCACTGGAAGGAGGGGCCAGGGCTTGGGTCTCCTGTTCCTCGGGTCCCAGGGTGGTCAGGCCCTGGGTCAGCGGAGGTGGAGCTGGACCCGGGCCTCCCTGGGCTCCTGTTTGCAGCTGGGCCACGAGGCTCGGCCACTGCCTGTGGTGTTTGCTCTGGAGGAGGGAGCTGACCACTGTCCGGGCTCCCAGGCCACCCGCTGCGGCTCAGCTGCTCCCCAGCCTCAGCTCACCCAGTGCCATGGCCACTGAGCCCCTGGTGGACCCTGCGGGCTGGGAGCAGGGCCCGGGACCCTGTGCAGGACAAGTACAGGGACCTGGGGCCGGAGCCATAGGGGCACCACCTATTACGTGGGTACAGTGTGTGTGTGGGGGGGGTGTGATCTGCGGAGAGACTAGGCCACCAGCTGCCCTTGCTGGCCCCCTCCCCTCTCTGCCAGCCCCCCAGGGTTCCAGCTACAGAGCCCCATCCCAGGCGGGGGTGGCTCTCACCTCCAGGCTCAAGTGGAGACCCCTCTGTAGAGACCCGTGAAGCTCCCCACTGCCAGGGGCCCCACATTCACTGATGGCCCCGCGCACCCCCCAGTGTCCAGGGGAGGGCAGAAGCCTTCTCGCCCCCCCTAAGCTGCTGCCAAGGCTGGGTCTCTGAAGT